TTGATCTCTCGCTCTTTGTTCTTTATAGGAGGCCTCTCACTAGAGTTCTTGCCCTTAATTTTTCCTTGTTTTATAGCTAGCTCGATTATCTTACCAGCCATAGCTAGATCTGAGAAAGTTCCGGATGTAATTGCCACCAGGTGCCCGAAGTAAGGCGTCTTCAAGGTCTGTACAAACAACTTTCTAGTTTCTTTTTTATCCAAAGGTGGATGAACTTGTACAGACAGATCCCTCCATCTCTGTGCATACTGTCGGAAACTTTCATTGTTCTTTTTCTCCAGGCTTTGTAGTATAACCCGGTCTGGTCTCATATCGTTAATATGTTTGTATTGCTCCAAGAAAGACTTGGCTAAGTCTTTCCATGTCTTAATATGAGTTCGGTTGAGCTGGTTGTACCACCGAATAGCTGAACCCGATAGACTCTCCTGGAAGCAGTGGATTAGGAGTTGGTCATTCCCCCATATCCTGTCATCTTTCGGCATAACATGGTGATGTGTGCGGATGGGTCGTTGTTCCCGTCAAACTTCTCGTATTTCGGGGACTTGAATTTCGGAGGAAGAACGAATTCCGGGACTAGACTGAGCTCCGTGGCATCGAATTTAGGGTAGTCATAGTCTCCTTTAATTACCTTCATTTGGTCTTCCAATTGTTTGATTTTCTCCTCCATCTTCTTTGATTTTTCATCTTCGGCTGAATCCGGTGTATGGTAATAACCCAAATTATTCTCAAGGTTAAATACAGAGGATGAGGGCTTTGCTTTTATAGCAGATGAGTCCCTTTGAAGTTCTGGTATGATTTCAGGTGAGACAACCACTTGTGGGGTAGGTGCACTGATCTGTTGTAGGCCAACTAACTTGGAAACGATATGATCAACCAAGGATTCTTGGTTCTTCATTATTGTATTTAGAGTACTCAGAGTACTCTGGTTTATCTTATCTTCTAGCTCTATCTGGAGCTTCAACATGTTCTCCTCGATCTGAGCAATTCTAGCTTCCATTTTCTTCTTTTTCAAGCAGGTGTTATGCGGATGGGGTGTGTCCAACGCTTGAGGTGGTGTATCCAGTATTTATTCCTTTATTGAAACATTCTTTCGATAGTTAAGGCGAATGCAAAAAAAAATAACAAAATGCAAAATATGTCTAAATGCATGATGCATGAAATGTCCGAGGCATTGATCCAAAAAAATGTGTCTGTTATTATGAATGATATTTATTGGGGACAAAAGTGTTTTAACTTTTAAGAGACCAAAAATATCATGACAGCTTCTGACATACTGACTAGTCTTCTGCGTTCGTCTGTCACCGGTTGAATAACATGTCGTACCGCTCTGGCTTCTTTGGATGAACCATGCAAATGTTGAGTTGCTTTTTGTATTGGCCCAAGAATTCTCGAAAGACTACATCTCGAGCATTTATCCTTTGTTGAGCATGTCCCCAACGAATACGTCATTGAAGCCCTCAATTGATAGGAACTATGTGAACTTCATTTGTCTGTTTCTTGAATTCATCAGCAATGGTCTCCAATTTCAGCTACCGTTTTGCCATTGTTGTCTTTGAAGGGACTCCCAAGATTAGTAACCTTCATCTTTCCCCTGCAACCTCTGCCAGTCACCTATTCCAAGATAGACTTTCATTTTTCTTCATGTAGACCCGATTCATTATGAGTCATTTATAATGCAGCAGAGTGATATACTTTTTAATTGTGGGCACCATGCCTTCTGGATTGAATGTGACACATAGTCGTCTTATAGATTGTCCTCTGTATTTTCATCTCTTGTAGCGGATCAACACCTCTTTTAAGTGATGCAAATGATGAAAAATAAACATAAAGGCAAAAAAGTTAGTAAAATAAAAATAAATGAATAAAAAATGACGAAAGGGAAAAACACAAAAAAAAATGGTTAGGAAAAAATATCCTAAGTTTTGGAATATGGCTTCTGGGTAGGCTCTAATTCTCCATGGTCTCCCGGATTAGGTTCTAAAAACGGTACTCGAGTTCTCCTTGTCGGTGCCCCTTTGGGCTTGCCAGACCCTTAGTCCTAAACCCATCACAGGCTTGTGTGGACTGAGTTAAACTCGAGAGGACATATTCTCTTATGCCCGCACGGTGAATAAATTCACACGAAGACATAAGGTATATGAATCCCGAAGGCTACTTGCTAGGCCCACACGGTGAATAAATTCACACGAAGGCGTCGCTTTCACCCCCACTTAAAATAAGGTTCAGAACTCGGGTATAGAGCCTTAGATGAAAAATCTTTAAGGGCTGAAATCATTAGAAAATGGTTAGTACAACTATTTACTCGAAAATATAATCAAAAGTAAGTAATAAGGATCGAAATGTTACCTTAAAATTTAAACTTACCCTTTTCTTTAAAAAGACAACTGGAAATTATCTTAGCCTGACTTGCTTACCTGTCCCCAGCAGAGTCGCCAAGCTGTCGCAACCGTCTTTCGGATGGGTCCGGAATTGGGCTTCGACTTAGAAAAATAGATTAGGAGTCGCCACCGATCATTTACATTTTAAAAAATAGGTTGATCAAATACCTTATTTCTTACCTGATTTGCGTCTTACCAGAAATGTGTCGGGCTCGGGAGTTAGTTACGGTCAAGGAAGGGTTAGCACCCTTGAACTGCCTTTTCGGTACTACGTAATTTCCAGTTGTCATTAAGTAAGAAAATTGTAAGTTTAACTTAAAATGTAAAATAACGATCCAAAATTGCTTACATTAGATTGATTTGAAAATGTACCCTTAAAAAAATCGAGAAACACGTGTTAGATAACAAATGAAAATAAATAAAATAATGAAAAACAAATAAAAATAAAAAGAGTAAAAAGGATGAAGTAAAAATAAAGTAAACAGAATAACTACAAAGAAGATAAAAGAAATGAAGATATAAGACAAATAAAAACAAAGAAAACAAATAAAATAAGGAAGATAGCATATTAAGTAAACAAGTAGAATCAAAAGTAAAATAAAATTAAACAAATATAAAAGAAAAGTAAGAATAAAGAAAAATAAAAATTAAATGAAAACAAATGAAATAATAAAAAGGCATATAATAGTGATATATATATAAAAAAAATGTAAAAATAAAAATATGAACATATAAACAAAAGGTAATATATATATATATATATATATATATATATTATATATATGTTCCACTACATAAAAAATATGTATATACTAGTAAAATAATAATAATAATAATAATAATAATTATTAGTGAAAACTAAAATGATATATATATATATATATATATATATATAAAATAAATAAAAGAAAAATAGTTATATATATAATAAAAATAACATATTAAAATGAATAAAAATGAAAATGTGTGATCAAATTGAGAGATAATTAGCGTTAAAATCGAATTAATGGGACGAAATGAAGGAATTGAAGCCAAGGAGGATTAAAACTGGGATTAGCCCATTTTGGTTCGAAAACACGCGGATCTGGCCCCTGGGTCGGGTCGGCGCACGGACCCTGAATGGGTTATTGGGCTTCAGTATAATTGCCATATTTTTTTTACAATGCTCATTTCTCAAGTTTCATACAAAAAAAAAACCCTTCCCCTCATTCTTTTTCTCTCAAGTGTTCTTGAGATATCAAGAACACGGTCGTGGATCGGAATAATACCCAGAAATCGGCCACCGTGAGCCACCTCACCGCCGTCGTTGATTGGCGTCGGCCGTCAATCATCGGCGGCAAAATCCCGTCTTTTCAACACCGTTCGAAAGCCATTTTCACACACATTCCGAATATCAAAGTTGTTTCCTAAGAAAATAGGCCTCGAGGTCTAGATCTACAAAAATAGATCTCGAAAACGCCCCCATTCATCGGCCAAAAACGCTTATTTTTTTGTCTCTTTTCAAATCAAGGGTAACATGCAAAGAAAAAGACAATCGAAAGCGAGGTAAAAAAAATGTCTACCTTTTTTTCACTTCGAAAATACTCCGAATGGTCTTGCAAATGCTTCTGGTGTTTTTTGTGTGTGATTTTCGTGCCTAAGCGTAGTGATTTCGTGTGTAACACTTGTGCGTAAATCTCTGTGATAATGTCCTCCCTAACTTGTGGATGATTGCATGAATTTATAGCCTAGGAAAATCTATTTTTAGAGTCATAATATGACTGATCTACTGTTGTTGGTTGCGTTTGTTGTGGGTGTTCTTTGCGCCGGGTATTTCGGGGCTGTTGGAGACGAGAGTCGTGCAACCATCAAACTTGGAGAGGAAGGTGTGAGGCGTGGGACTCTCGGCCATGGGTGATGACACCGTGCAACGCTGATGAGGGTTGCTGAAGCAAGAGAAGTGGCGCACTAGGGTTTTCTGGAAACCCTGCTTTTGGAACGGGTCTTGGGTCATCGCTGTTTGGGTTTGGTTTTTTGGTTGTTGGGCCTTGTAATATTTGTATCTGGGTCGGTAAAAAGAAGAGAAGGAAGGATGTGTAAATAGCATATACAATATATATATAAGTAACATATAAATTATATACATATATATATAGTTATTTATGATGAGACGAAATATAGTGTCTACATATATAAATAAGTTGGTTTAAAATATTGTTTTCTCGTTTGACTTTTTTATTGTCCTTCTGGTTTTCAAAGCCCGTGTGGCGTCGCACACTTGGCTTTGGTGGATGAGTCTCCCAATAAGAATTTTTTTGTATATACAATGACTTGAACTCGATGCCTTAAACGATATCAAATCGTTTGATTTTTGATAACACATGCCATAGCCCATAGGTTTCTTTATAAGAACTATATATATAGAAGTTTGAAGTTTAATATAAATTTCCATAATTGTTACATACATATGTGTGTTAATTGGAGTCGAATAAAATCTTTTTAAGAATAATTTTTATGTTGCCACTTTTTTACTTTTATTTATTACAAGCAATTCTTACTTTCACGTGTTAACAACATATTTTATATTAAAAGTAATTTAATGGACACAAAAATAAATACATAAATAAATAATAGTGTTAGTCAATGAACAAGATATGCGCTCGCACTTCTATATATTCACACTACTCCTACAAGAACTTGCCAAAAATTCTGTATAAAAGTCCCCAAAAATTTGACAAAAAAATTAGCAACATTCAAAGAGTTGCAGATTTTTCTTTCGTACAAACCATGGAACCAGTAGTTATGGGCATGACCCTTCTGTTTCTTGCACCTTTCCTTCTCTTAGGCCTCATCTCTCGTCTCCGTAGAAGCACTTTTCCTCCGGGACCCAAAGGGTTGCCGATCATCGGCAACATGATGATGATGGACCAGTTAACTCACCGTGGACTCGCCAAACTCGCTGACAAATACGGCGGCATATTTCACCTTAAGATGGGGTTCTTACACATGGTCGCCATTTCCAATCCCGAAATGGCTCGTCAAGTTCTTCAGGTTCAAGATAATATATTCTCCAACAGGCCAGCCACCATCGCCATCAGTTATTTAACGTACGATAGGGCTGATATGGCTTTCGCTCATTACGGTCCTTTCTGGAGACAGATGCGAAAGCTTAGCGTGATGAAGCTTTTCAGTAGGAAAAGAGCCGAGTCATGGGAGTCCATTCGAGATGAAGTCGACTCACTTGTGAAAGCTGTTGCGTCCAATACTGGGAATGCTATAAATATGGGCGAGTTGATCTTTAGTCTTACCAAGAACATCATTTATCGGGCGGCTTTTGGTTCCATTTCGCAAGAAGGGCAAGAAGAGTTCATCGGGATCTTGCAAGAGTTTTCTAAGCTTTTTGGTGCTTTCAATATTGCCGATTTCATTCCTTGGCTCGGTTGGGCTGATCCTCAAGGACTCAACACCAGGCTCGAGAAAGCTCGTAGTGCGTTAGACAAGTTCATCGACACCATCATCGACGATCACATTGAAAAGAAGAATAAGAACAACAGCCGCTCCGATGACGGTGACACCGACATGGTTGATGATTTACTCACTTTCTACAGTGAAGAAACCAAAGTAAATGAATCGGAGGATCTACAAAATTCTATCAGATTAACCAGAGACAACATCAAAGCCATTATCATGGTACAATTCCTTTCTTCCCACGTAATGCATAGATTGTTTTGCATGTAATTATACAGACTTGGAATAAATTTTTTTCTTAATTTTCAGGATGTGATGTTCGGTGGAACCGAGACGGTGGCGTCGGCGATTGAGTGGGCCTTGGCGGAGCTAATGAGAAACCCGGAAGATATGAAAAGAGTCCAACAGGAGCTGACGGAGGTGGTGGGGTTTGACCGCCGTGTGGAAGAATCTGATATGGATAAACTAACCTACCTAAAGTGCACCCTCAAAGAAACACTCAGGCTCCACCCACCGATCCCGCTCTTGCTCCACGAGACCGCGGAGGACGCCGTGGTGGCAGGTTATCAAATCCCGGCCAAGTCGCGCGTGATGATAAACGCGTGGGCCATTGGCAGAGATAAGAATTCGTGGGAAGACCCAGATAGTTTCAAGCCATCAAGGTTCTTGAGGGAAGGCGTGCCGGACTTCAAAGGTAGCAACTTCGAGTTCATCCCGTTCGGTTCGGGTCGGAGGTCATGTCCGGGTATGCAACTCGGGTTGTATGCTCTTGATATGGCTGTGGCTCATTTGCTTCACTGTTTTACGTGGGAATTGCCTGATGGGATGAAGCCGAGTGAAGTCGACATGAGCGATATTTTTGGACTTACAGCACCTCGAGCTACTCGACTCTATGCAGTGCCAAAGAAACGCCTGGTCTGTCCACTCTTTTAATGCGAAACTGGAAATAAAAACAAATCCATTTGAGTCTTGAAATTGCAAATCCCGGAAGAATAAGGTGACAAAGGTGGCTTTTACAAGTGGGATTTCTGTTTTTCTTTTATTATCATTACTATTATAACTTCAACTATTGTTGTTATTATTAATAATATATTTCAACCAAACAAAAAAGGGTGAGAATTTGGTTTCTCTCTTTCGCTGTGGATAAGACTCCTTTCATTTGAATTGTGTTTAAAATTGTACTTTTTTTTTATTTGAAAGATCTAATTGAACATTGTTAGAGGCCATTTTATTCGGTTCAAAGCATTAAAAGAATGCAAATAACAATAATGTTCCTGTGCAAATGCAATGGACCGGATAATGCTTTATATTTATTTCTGTTCTTTTATCTTCTACGATAAAAAAAATTCACTTTCTTTTTACTGTTATTTATGTTTAAGACAAGTATTTTCACCATGTTTTTAATTTAATTTTTTTATAATCTCTCAAAAATAAGTAATTGATTAATATAAATCTTTAATACACTAACTATAGATAATTTTATGTATTATCATTGAATCAAAAAAAAATATTATATTATTAAAAGAAATTTAATTAAAACTAATTTTATAATATTGCATCATAATTTAATAATAATTTTTTAAACTATGTATAATCAGTGTATCAATATTAATATAATTTAATAATAATTCACCCCGCTGAATTAAGCTCCAAGTTGTGCCGGTTTTATTGATCGTTGTGCTTATGTTAGAAAAGGCTTTGTGCTTAGCTGAGATTTGTACGGGGTGTGTGTATGGATATGTCGGGTTGATTTGGTTGTGGTGTGATTTTAACATGGACTTGAGATAGGATTGTACCGACTTTGATAAGACGTACTCTTTTCCTTCTAATTAGATTTAGAGAAATTCGTTAACGAGGCTTTTTATCATTGTTTTGTTTTTCTTAAAAATAAATAAACGAGTCATAATTTTTCCATTATAAAAATATATTTTTTAGTATACAATATTTTAAGATATAACATTTTCATAGTATAATCACGTCAGTTAATTAAATAATGATTTGCAACGAGCTGTAAACGATTGAAGTTAATTAAATTTGACTGACTCGAAAGTTTTTGAGTTTAAAATTGTTAAACTCGACTCAAAATAATAAATTCAAATTCAACTCGAGTTTGAAAAAATTTGAACCCAAAATATTCTAAGATTTAGATAGATTGAAGCTCAAACTTAAGTTCAAACTTAAATTTTAAGTACATGAAAGTCTTATATTGTATTTTAAAAAACAACAACATATAAATGATAATATTATCGATAATTTAATTTTAAAAAATAATATATTATTTTTTGAGTTATGTATCAAGTAACTCATTTTGGTTTGTTAAGAATTCAAGTCAAGTTTGTAGATACATTTTTTTTCTCGGGTTATTATTAATATTTAATATTATTATTATTGCCGAAATGGTTTTCTGAAAGGGGAAAAAGGGGACTCGTTTCCAAATAATTTTTGTTGACCGATTAATGATAAAACATTGTTCGAGAAGTCACTATCAATCTTTGATTACGGTGTGATTGGGCACCCAAAAAATGTATTTTCCATTTTAATAAAATATATTTTAATTAAAATAACAAGCTTGCGGTATGCGTTACCAAAATTTGAGTTCGGGAGTCGGTTACGTGTGGGGAAGGATTAGTATCCTCACAACGCCCTAAATCAGTACTTAGTCGATTAATAAATTGTCTTTGCAATGAAATTTATGAGTTAAAGTCTAATTTAATTTAAGATCCCATACAAATAACATTCTTTGAATTTTCGGATGAAATACAATAATATTTAATTATTTATTATCGAAAACAATTGATCTCCCATACCTTAAAGCAATCGATTCTTACTCCAATCGAAATAAATAAATATTAAAATTATATTCTAAAGTTCATTATTAATTCAAAATGACAACACCCAAAATAATTTTAAGAGAGAAAATGATAATATCTAATTATTTCTAATCGATAATAAATGACATCTCATACCTTAAAGCAGTCATTTATTACTCCGATCGAAATGAAGAGATATCACTATTCCGTATTAAAATTCAATATCGATCTGAGTGAAAACGATAATATCTAATGATTTCCGATCGAGAATAAATGAACTCTCATACCTTAAAGTAATCATCTATTGCTCCAAGTGAAAGAGATATCATTATTCTCAATATCGATTCGAGTGTTATTATTTTGAAAACCCATCGGAAAACACATGCAAAAATAAAGCAAATTATCAAGCAAGTATAATTAATTAATTATTTTACCAATACTTAATGAGAATAATGATGTTCAATTATTTAAATATCTCGAGATGAGACCTTAGATTCGATCTAACAATCTTTTCTCGATGAATTTAATTAAAAGAACATGATATTTTTTCCAATCCTCGAATTTTAAAATGAATTCGATTTAATTCGTGTCACTACATGGGATATATTTTCGTTTTAAAATTATCGAAAACAACTTTCTTATATGTTAAGATAGTCACTTTACGACAATATTAAAATGAACGAATATTACCCTTAGTCAATTTATTTCGATTCGAGTCAAGAGATGCTTATGAGGGTATCATGCAAAATTAATTAAGGACTAAAATAAACTAACATGCAAGCAACATGAAAAAAATAAAATAAAATAAAAATAGGACTAAAACATAAACAATCAAACCAACATGTCAAAATTAAAATAAAATTACGTATAAAAGTAACTAAAATGAGCATGCTTAATGTTGGGTGCTAAAATTACAAATAATAAAAATAAATAAAACATGGTGACTAACATAAAATAAACTAAAATTGCATGGCCAAATTAAAATAAATAAAAAGATAAATTCTGGTTCAAAATATAAACATGCAGAAGCTACAGGGGCTATTTCCTAAATATTCTTTTTTTCCTAGCCTAAAATATACATTCGAATAAAAAAGGGAAAATCACTAAATCAATCCATAAGTATTTAAAAAAAATTAAAAAGTCACTACACATGACAAAAATGTAAAAACACATTAAACATACAGAGACTAAACAACAAGTAACCCTAAAATATATAATATTTATAAAAGTGGGTTAATTACAAAAACAATCCCTACAGGTGACTAACATGCAAAAAATACTAAAGTTAGGGGATTAAACAATAATTAAACCAAAAAATATAACATGCATAAAAAATAGGTAAATTATAAAAACGGTCCCTACAGATAACCATTTTGCAAAAACTCATATAACTTAGGGGGACCTAAGTGTAATTTCCCTAAAGTTTTCTATAAATACAATTTTTTTTAATTTTTTTTAATTTTTTTAATTTTTTAATTTTTTAATTTTTCTTAATTTTTAATTTTTTTATTTTTAAAGAGAGAAGCAGGAGAAAGTCGGCCCTTCACCGGCCGTTTGGCAGCCGTCATTTGTCGCGCCGCCGTCGTCGGTGGCAACCAAATTTTACCCTGAGATTTGCCTCAACCTCATCGTCTAGGATCTAGGCTTGGTTTTGCGAAAAATAGCCCCCAATGATGTGAAATAGAGCCAAGACCCTTCAACTTTTCCGAACTCCGATCGCCGCCGTCCGTCGTTGGATCGGGCCGATTCTGAAGTATATAGTTCCCCTCCTCCATATGCTTCTCCTCACCGTCCGGATTGGGAAACAGAGGCCCCAATCAACGGTGAGAGATCCATTTGAAAAGTATTTTCCTCATATCTACTTCTTTTTTACTTTGTTTTTTTTGCTATTGCATTTCGAAACCGAAACAATAAACCAAAAAATATATACTTTGAAGCTGATTTTTATTCCTTTTGAAAAACTAAGGGAATAAACCCTTTTAGAACAGAGTAGCTTAGGTTTTATAACCCCTGTTACAGTTTTTTTAAAACAAAATAATGATGATATTATTGGCGTGTAGATTTGCTTGTTGTAGGGGTTAGTGTGCTAGGGGGCTGGCGCGTGGTTGGTGGCAGCAGCGGTGGCTGGGGACTAGTAAAGATGAAGGTGGCTTGGGATTGGGTATCTGTGGTAGCAGTGGTGAATGGGGTTAGGGCTTGAAAACCCTATCTTGTTGAGCTCTCACACACACGAGTCTCTATTGGATTTTAGGTGTAACAGATTCTGGGCCGGATTGGGCCTGTTGTAATTGGGCTCCTAGTTTGCTTTGTAAAGCCTAAAAAGAATAATAATAAAGAAACGAGACAAAAATGGAATTCAACAGCTGCCCCTCTTTGCCCATTCTTGTGTCAACAAGAATAGGGCAAAGATAAAGAGACAATGAGTTTTCTTCTGGTTGACTCTGTGCTCTGAAATCTGATGAGGGATCTGCTTCACTGTTTCTTTAGGGTAGATCAGATCTAGAAATATTGACTTATTCCACTGTTCATCAGGGAAGATTGAATTGAGGTAGACTTATTACACTGTTACTCAGGGAATATTAAATATTGGAAGAGAGTGATATGTTTTGCTTCTTCTTGAGGGAAAATTGGATCTGGGGACGTTGATTCATTCCACTGTTCTTCAGGGAAGATTGAATCGAGACTGACTTGTTCCACTATTACTCAAGGAATATTAAATCTTAAAAAAAGAGATTTGTTCTGTTTCTTCTTGAGGGAAAATTAGATATGGGGACGTTGATTCATTTTACTATTCTTCATGGAAGATTTAATCGAGGTAGATTTTTACCACTTTTACTCAGGAAAGATCAAATCTTGAAAGAGAGAGATTTGTTCCGCTTCTTCTTGAGGGAAAATCATATCTGGGGACATTGATTTATTCCACTGTTCTTCAGGAAAGATTGAATCAAGTTCGACTTGTTCCACTGTTACCCAGGGAATATCAAATCTTGAAAGAGAGGGATATGTTCCTCTTCTTATTGAGGGAAAATCAAATCTGGGGACGTTGATTCATTCCACTATTATTCAGGGAAGATTGAATCAAGTTTGACTTGTTCCACTATTACTTAGGGAATATCAAATCTTGAGAGAGGGATGTGTTTTGCTTTTTCTTGAGGGAAAATCAAATTTGGGGACATTGTTTCATTCCACTATTCTTCAGGGAAGATTGGATCAAGTTCGATTCACTTTTCTTGTCTTTAACAATATCAAATATGAAAATTAAACATTAACCTTGTTAGTATGTGTTTGAGAATTAGAAAACATCATATCTGAAAGACTTGGGAGGATAATCTTTGGAAAGTGATTTCTCTTGTGGGAATTTGTCTTGCCGCAACCAAACATGGAAATCTGAATTGGT